GGAACCTTCCGTGGCCCTGGCACCCCCTCAGCCCTGAGCACAGCAGTCTGTAGGCCAAGTCACCAGGCGCCTGGCTCAATGCTGCCTCCTGGAGTGCACGCAGGTTGGGGTGCACTGCAGGGGGGTGAGAGGTGGCTCCTGTGCACACTCTGAAGAAGCTTTTTCCCCCAAGGACCAGACCTCAACCCTACAACCTGAGAAGCACTGAGACAAGAGGAGGCTGGCTCCGTGCAAGGGTGGATCGTGGATTGGACCTTCCTGCCCTTTCTACACAGCGTCAGACTGGCCAAGAGGGCCATGGAGTCACCCCACAGCCACGCCAGAGAGCCAGGGCATCTGCACATCCCTTGGGAGGGTGGCTATAAAAAGAGCCCTACCCAGGACACCAGAGTTTAAATAGCGGAAGAATTGATCCAAATAAACATTCTAGATTGAGTGCCTAGTGTTCAGATCCGGAGGTTTCTGGGCCGAGGACAGATAGCAGATGCCAGGGTGTAAAATTCCCAGTTACTCCACCTCCCTCGCCAGTCACTTCCTCACCCACCAGCCTCGCTGCTCTGAGAGTTTTCTACTGCAGCTGGAAGTTTCCGGAGAAGCCTCTGTGGGGTCCTCAATCACACCACAGCACCAGGCCCCAGTGCTAGGCTTTCACCCTCACACTAAGGGATGTTTTATAAGGCTCTCTGCTCCATCCCAGTAACAATGGTACTTATTTCACCTGAGCTTTCTAAACACACACGAGATCCCCCTTACAACTTGGTGAGTGTTGGGGCCCCAATTAGGCCCCCGGAAAGGCAAGAACTGGAGAGCAGTTAGAGCCCGGAGAAATCTTTGGCTTGAAGCCTGGTTTCTTTCCAGGGGTTTAGAAACTGCCCCTATCAGCGCTGTACCCAGAAGGACTAGAGCTTACTGAGCAGGAAAGGCTCTTTTCTAGAACTTTCTTGGGGACCTTGCTGTTGCTTGTCCCCCTGAAATGACTGTCTACTGCCATGCAGGCATGCCAGTGCTGCAGCTGGCTTATGGAGGGGGGCTCCAAATTGAGGTCTCCTTTCACTCACTACCTTGCTATAAAACCTCCCCAGCTTTGCTGTCATCACTGCTAAGGCCAAGCCCATTGGGTAAGAGTGTATTTAATAAACCATATCATATCCTTCTCCCCTAGTGGAATATCAGTTTCTGGTTAGCAGTGTTTATTTACTGTTTGCTTATTTATCATTTTGGTGGCGCTGAGCGTTGAACCCAAGGCACCCTGCATGCTAGGCAGGTGTTCTGTAGTGCTCTGCTCCAGGGTCCAGCAGTCAGAGTTTGAAAGCAAACTTGTGTTTGCCTCTGAAACACAGCTTTGTTTCGGCCAGTTTTCTATTCTTGGAGCTCACTTCTTACAGTGGGGAGCTTTTAGCTTTTCTCCACTGACTTTCATTCCCTGTAAACAACAAAAGTTTTGACTTTTTTTTTTTCTTATGGAAGGAAAGGTAGAGTTCATTTAAATGAGTTAGGATCAGTCCAGGTGCTCCTTGGCTAACCAAAACACAACCCTGGGAGCAGAGAGATTGTTCTCCTCTCCACCTCCGGCTGGTTGAAGGTCTCTGTCTGCGGTTCCTCTCCCGCTCCAAACTCTTGAGCCCCACCCCTGCCCTGTGCAAGGGAATGTAAACTTAGGGAAGCTTGGGTTTCTGATTTAGTTCTGTAATCGGCGTTTTATTCTAGGAAATCTTTTCATTATTGCGGCTTAAATCTTATGTTTTTAGTATCCTTCCTCTGCTTCGTGGGTTTTACATGAAATGGCTTAGACTAAACCAACTAGCGACCAGAGAGATGCATCTGTCCCAACAGTTTATAGTCGTCATTGAAGTGTCCTGCACCCACCCCTCCCTCCCTTTTACCCAGTCTGATCAGAAAAGCTTTATCCAATTCAGTCTGAAAGCGACAACCGTTGTGAGCCTGTGTGTAGGCAGCAAAGTACCCAGGGAGAAGGCTTTCTCAGGATTTCCCCACCGAAACCGAGGATTGAACTCAGGCCCTTGTGCTTGCCAGGCAAGCGCTTATTCTACTGAGCCATCTCCCCGGCCCCTCACCAGATAAATTGGTGGGAGCTAAACCTACAGACAGAGCTGGACTGTTTTCAAAGGGTACACCCCCCCCAAGCCTCAGACAAACTGGGGCTTTTTTTTTTTTTTTTTTTTTTTTTTTGTAGATGTAGGCTCTGCTGCTTCTTTCTATTCCCAAAGAGATCGTTGACACCAACAATGAGAGCCACTGGTATAGAAGGCTAGTTCTAGGCTATTTTTGGCTCTACCTTGATTTTAAGTTTATTGTCTTCTAGTTTTGAGTCAGGATCCTAAAACTTTTTGAGGCCTACTGTTCAAGCAGTACCCCTTGGGATGTCATATCCTACAGTCCCCAGGTGCAGAAGCAATCCAGGATCCTTGAGAGACAAGGAGACTGAGTTGCTAAATGTCCCCCAAACTGTTCCCCACCACCCCACCTACAAGTGAGACAACTGTCTTATCCCGATTGGCCTCCCCTGGCCCCCTGGCCCTGTGTTCTCCCCATTTAAAACACGGATGTACACAGAAACACATACACACACACACACACACACACACACAGAGTTTACCCTTTTGCATGTGACCTCTTCTCCACTCTATTTTATGTAGATAATTATTTGCAACACTTAGAGCATTGATTTAGCAAGCACGAATTTACTTCTGCATTTAGTTACTTATTTTTGAGTTATTTCATGCTGAATGACAAAAGAAGAGGGGAAAACCAGCAAGAAAAAAAATCAGATCTGTCCCCCCAAAATGTTAACCAATTGGTCAGAAAGAAATTCTTAGAAGGTGGAAACAACTGCAAAGCCCCTTCCCTGACCCAATCCAAACAACCTTTCCGGAAAAGAGTGACTTGTTTCTTTTTTCTCTTGGAAATGAGTGGTAAACTGAGTTCGGCTTGGTGGTGTTTTCTTAGCTGACTCTGGGCTACAATCAGGCCATTTTCGGACACATTCCCATGTAGGTACCAGGGGTGCTCTGGAGGAAGCTGTCGACGCCTGTTCAGCTAATTTAGGTTTTCTTTGTCTAATTACTGTGGAGCTTAGGGAAAAGGAGCCCGGCTCAGGGCAGTAAACTGACACTCGGTCTCCGTGTGTGGTATCCAGGCTGGGTTTGATGGAAAAAGCCTGCTTCCACTCAACTTCAGGTCACTGTCTGGGGCCAGCCCCAGCCAGCCCCCTCCTCCTCATGCCGCCCTTCTTGCCTGGAAACCCACCAGTCTCTCTGCCGGCAGCAGCAGTCACCAGGAATCGGGACCCAGAGAGCGGTGCCGCCCAGGGAGGCCTGGGGGCTCTGCTGTGCACCCAGAGCCCGGTACTGAGTCCGCAAAGCGGGCCTCCTCCTGCTCCGCCGGGTTCCGGACACACTGCCTCCGTACCCGTCGGCTCCTTTCCCGGCTACGCGGAGGGGAGCCCGGCTCTGCGCTCCTCCCCTGGGCTGCCACACTCTCCCCACCGCCCCGCCCCACCAGCCCCTGTGTGGCCCGGCCTGGGGTCAGAGGACCCTGCGCGTGTAATCCAATAACTCACTGTCGGGGCTCATTGGAAAAGACGTCCCCACAGGGCGCGTCCCGCTCAGGCTTTCACAGGGGAGGCGTCGCAGGGCTCCAGAGCGGAGATGGCACGCTGGTGGCCTTCGTTGACACCAAGGGTGTACCCTTAGTGACAGCCGCGCAGTCCTCCAGGATGGAGAGTACATACAGCTATCCTGCTGATCTCATGGCCAGCCTGCTTTTCTCTTTCCCTTTAAACAAAGCATGAATTGAAAACCAAAAACCGAGTGAAAGTAAATACAAACAAGAGTCGCAGGGGACCCGGTATCCAGACTCCCTTGAAGTTTGGCCTGGAGTTCTCCATCCATACCCCGCAGGGTCCTAGAGAGCAGGGTCTGCCCCCGCCCACCCTCCACCCCCGCAAAGACGCTGTCTAACCGCAGTCCTAGTGGAGAAAGCGATCCGCACTTTACCTTCGGGCGCTGGCACCCTGGCGCGCGGCGGTGGCCGCGGTGCCCAAATGCGATTGACAGCGGTGTCAGCTCGGGCCTGCTGACGGCGGCTAAGAAGGCACCCGGTGGCGGAGACACCCGCGGCGGCACCTCTGGGCCGAGCCGGGCAGGGAGGGGGAGGGGAGGGAAAAGGGCAATGGAGGGCGGATGGAGGGGGGAGGAGCCGTGCCGGGCCGGGGCGCCAGGGTCGGGGTGGGGAGCTGGGCGCTGCACGCGGCGGACAGAAGGGTCCTAGGTAGTCGAATTTCGCGGGGGGAGGGTCGTCCTCCTGGCAAAGCGCGAGAGGTTTAGTGATCCCCACGCTGAAGGAGGGTGGGTGGGGAAAGCTAAGGATTCGGGAGAGGAGTGGAGAGCTGGGACCCTGGAGAGCGGGCGGAGAGGAGATAAGGGGCGGGCGGGCAGGCGGCCGCGGGCGGAGGCCGGCGGGGTGGGGCGCGGGGGGAGGAGGAGGAGGGCGCGGGAGGAGGAAGTCGGGAGCCAGACGAGCCGCGCTCCTGCGGGGAGACGCCGCGCAGTCCCCGGGGTCCCGGCCGCCGTCCCAGCGTGGGGCGCAGCCGCCCGGGAGGGGTCGCGCCAGGCGGCTCCCAGGTTCGGAGAGGGATGCGCCGTCGCCGCCGCACGCAGCCCCGGAGCAGCTGAGCCCGGCCCGG